AAAAAAAAAAAAAAACCCACCTCCATATCAATGCTTCTAAGTATCAATTGCCCAAGAAATTGTGAATTAAAAAAGATATTGCCAAAATGGTAAAACTTTACCTGCAATAATATAAAAGGAGACACAGCAAAACCAAAAGTATGAAAGCCATTCCTCCTAAAATGGCCAAAAGAAACACCGTGTGATACGTGGTAATGTCCTGTGTTACAACGGGACCTAGAAGGTCAGAAAATGGCATTTAGAGTTTTGAACACCTTTAACTCAAAAGAGGGATCATTCATTGAGAACACAGTGTCTTGTGCTTACTCTTCTTGGCTGGGGCATAGAGCAGTGGCCAGAGGAAAACACCCTTGGATCACGCACTTGGGGTACCACCAGCATTGCATTAGTGATTAGCACGACTATTATGGAAGCTCCCATGGCCAGGAGAACTTTGAATACTCAAAGACAAGATGTGGTTACGTCAAGGGCCCCCCACTAAGCGGAGAAGTGTGCCTCACTTGGTAGCATGTGCCTTCTTTGAAATACATGGCCTTTTAATTTTAATTTTTTTTTTTTTTGAGACAGGGTCTCATTCTGTCACCCAGGCTGGAACACAATGATATAATCATGGCTCACTGTAGCCTTGACCTCCTGGGTTCCATCAATCCTCCTGCCTCAGCCTCCAGAATAGCTGAGACTACAGGCGTGCACCACCACATCTGGCTAGTTTTTGTATATTTTTTTAGAGGCAGTGCTCTCACTATGTTGCCCAGGAGGGTCTTGAACTCCTGAGTTCAAGCAATCTGCCTACCTCGGCCTACCAAAGTGCTGGGATTATAGGCATGAGCCACTGTGCCCAGCCATGTGATCTTTTAATGCAAGAAAATGAACGCATGATGATTTAATGACTGGGACTCTCACCTTCAGAAAGATGGCCTGACTATCTGGGAATTTTATATTGCAGGGAAACAAAAAAAAAAAAAAACAACCCACAAAGTTTTATTCTTGCTTTTCCCGGGCAGTCAATCATTACTGTCTGGAGAGCCCTTAGTCTAAATAAACCAGTTTAAATGTATGACATAAATTTCCTGTGACTTAAAAAAGTCAACAACTTTTAAAACTTAATACAGGTATCAAATATGACTAAAATGATAACCATCTTTAAAAACAAGATCTTTTTTATGCCTTTTCAAAATAGCTAACCTTACATGGCCACAGATCTCTTTAGAACTTATACATAAGGTTACCAAAGGTAAAAATATTTTAAGTTTATGTTGTAAACAATCCCAAGAGGTAGCTTAACTCACATTTTATGTTCCATAGTAGTACAAATCTATCTTAATGTTACTAACAACAGATCAACGACAACAAAAACCTCCCCACATGCCAATATTTAGGTATTTATTAGTGTCTGAGTTTCCTGGCAGTGTACGAATACATGGGTCAAAATGAACTGGTTCCTTTTTTTTTTTTGAGACGGAGTCTTGCTCTGTCGCCCAGACTGGAGTGAAGTGGCCGGATCTCAGCTCACTGCAAGCTCCACCTCCCGGGTTCACGCCATTCTCCTGCCTCAGCCTCCCGAGTAGCTGGGACTACAGGCGCCCGTCACCTA